CCGATGGTCTTAGGCGACCCCTGTGAAGGGTCGCTCGACCCCCAAAGGGGTCACGACCCACAGGTTGAGAACCGCTGCTCTAGAGACTCTTACCTTTATAACCATCTCAAAGGTGAACACGCCAGTGAAAACATAGTCAAAATACCGCAGGACCTGGAAGACACATACCGCGCAGGGGAGGAGGTTATGTGTGGCCACCCGGCCACACACACTCCCGCCTGCCCACGGAGACATCCCTGCCCGCCCACCCAACGCCCACTCATTTCCACCACAGAACAGAAGCTTGGAATTGCAACCACTAGCTGGGTGCAGAGAAAGGAGGAGCCATGGGTCCGGTTGGAGCCACATGACGTGGGGGCCAGTCCTAGGCCCTTCCTTCCCTGTGGCCAGAACTAATCTTCTTGGGTCTTAACTGCCCCACAAACCTTCCCCCCAATTCTGGCTCAGGATCTGAAATCCTTGTCAGTTCCCATCCTCCCTGCCTCCCTCCTGACATACACCCTTGGAACCCCAGGCTGTGCTCCTCAACTTCACCCCCCTGTCCTATGCCAGACTCCACATCCAAGCCCACGGGTGGCTGCAGAGACCCCCTTCATAGCTCTGTGGGCTCCAGCGGGCCTCACTCCTTCCTCATTCCCCAGGAACCTTCCTCAGGCCACCTCTGACGCTGGGATGGGGCAGGTACCAGGGCTCTGGGGAGGTTGGCGAAGGGCCCCGTGCACCCACTCTGTTGCGCTCCGAGTTGGTCAGGACCGGGTCCTCGGCCGCCAGGGCGATGCTGCTGGCCGCGATCACCAGGAGAATGCACATCTCAAAGTAGCGCAAGTTCACGATGTAGTGACAGGCCCTGCGGATCCTGCGGGTGGATGAGCCTTGAGCCGCCGCCTCCCTCCGTCCCCATCGTGCCTCCCCACCCCCGCACACAGGCACCACGGCCTCTTCCAGACAGCCAGGCCCTGGCCAGAGGAAGCCTTGGGAAGAGCAATTTAATTTCTCAGGCACCACCCTTGATTTAAAGCCCCAGAGGGGGAAGGTAATCAGATTGGCTGGAGGCTGCTGTACACAAGCCAAGACGCATTATCTGCAAGCACGTCTGAGCCGTGGGGCGCAGCCAGCATCAGAAGACACACACTCGGGGTGCCCTCCACTGTATCTCAATGTATAGAAACTGGGGCAGAGCGAGCAGATCAGAAGAACCAAGGAACATAAAAATAGACCTTGATTCTAAGCTTCCTGATGAAAGCGGCAACAGGTTTTCATGAGTTCCAGGCATTCTGATTACAGAGACTATAACCCATGGACTGCATTCTGGCCACGGGTGGCCTGACAGTCCTTAGCCCAGGTTCCTGTCTTCCCTGACCCCTGCCGGGACCCTGCCCACGTGGCCACGGGAAGCCTGCTTGTCTTGTCTTCCTAGCCTCAGAAGCTGGCCTACAGGTATACCTTGCTCAGGTAAAGGGCAGAAGAAAGCCTGCCTTTCAAAATCCCATTTTTCCTGAGTCCAACCTTCCAGACTCTTCTCTGCCAACCCCACCTCATGCCCCTAAACACACCCACTTCAAAATCCACAGGGATTCGGGATTAAGCAGTGGGATCAATACTCGTAACTGCCAATGGATGACCCAATCATTACAGGCACCATCGTCTCAGCTATGGGCCATTTGGTAACACATCCCAAGTAGATTTTCTCCTCCCCACCCTCCACTGACCGAAGAAAAGGTGAGTGTCCTTTCCTCATGACATTTGCCATGCTTTCCTGTCTTAAATTACTCTCTAGACCAGAGGTGACACGTGAACTCATTTTTTTGGTTGATTTTTCTTTGTTAAATGGCATTTAAATATATAAAATAAATATCAAAAATATAAATCTTTGTTTTACTATGGTTGCAAAGATCAAAACATTTCTATATGTGACACGGCACCAGAGTTAAGTTAGGGTTTTTCAAAATGCTGACACGCTGAGCTCAAAAGGTTCGCCATCACTGCTCTAGACTATGGGCACAGAATTCAGAGGATGTTTGGTTCCATGACCCATCTCCCCCCGTGAGCACCCTGGATGCTGCATGTGTCTGGTGGCTGTATCCCACTGGGAAGGACCAGAAGAGGACTGGGCCCTCATACCTCCATCTCCCCATTGCCCTGCCCTGGCCCAAACTCTGCCTGTTCACCTGGACGGATGGGGGAGATAGGAGGGACTTACGGGTTGGTGGTGCTGAAGATAAACATGGAGCTGTGGGGCACCATGGCTTTGCCCGTCTCACGCTTCTCCTTCTTCTGCTTCTTCTCCTCTTCCTCCTCCTCCTCTTTGACCTCTGCCTCCTTCAAGGGACTGGCTTCGCCATCAGTCTTGTTGCTGACTGCAAGAGGAACATGTGGATGTCTTCAGAAACCTTGTCACATGCGAGATTGGAGCCCTTGGTGATCCACCGGGGATGGGATGGAGGGGCTGGGAAGGGGCCCCGGGAAGGTGCTGAGGGAGGTGCCCTGCACACATGCGGTGTTTGTTAGTTACACGGAGTCCAGCAATTGCTCTCTCCTTCTAGCTTTACCCTAATTTTATGTGGTATAGCCTTTGCCATATAAATCATTCATTCTTACCACATTTCCCTGGGTAACGGAAGGTTGGTTTATGTTGTAAAGTTTACAGTTTATTTATCTAAAATCTGGATTCTTTGTATTTATTCACTTATTGAATTTTCACATCGGTAGCTGCTGAATGGCATGCATTATTGTTCCCATTATACAGATGGGAAAAGTGAAGTTGAGGGAAGTCAAGTACCTATCTTAAGGTCCTACAGCCAATATGGGTTCCGGTCTAAAATCCTATATCCTTTCAATGAAATCACACTGCAATGGAAGATTTTCAGAAACCATTCCTCTGTTTGTAGCTGCCTTCCTGGCTGTGCTTTTTCCAGTCATAATTAATGCAGAGATGAGAATGCAATATTCATGCGAATATGGGTGCAAGACTACATTCAGGATAGAGAGGATGAAGGGACCAGGACTGAGTGGAGCTCTTGGGACCACTACTCCCTGTTTTATACTCGAGTCACAGTGGGGTAAGGAGCAGAGAGGTCAAGGCTACCAAGCAGCCAAGGGGGTCCTGTCAACCTCCCCCACCAATCCCTTCAGTGGGTGACTCTACCCTGGAACCTTATGTGAGCATCAAAGCTCTGAGGGTCCGCCCCTTCTGGGACCTTCTATGAAATACGTCATCCAAACTATCCAAAAGCCCTCTGATAACATGCTCTTACCTATCACCAAGGCCAGGGACTGGAGCCAGAATCGGAACAAAGAGAGGGTCCAACTTTCTTACTGATTCTCATAGAAGAGGGGCCTACATACTTATTTACTGGAGCATAAAATTAAACAGACCCCAAAAGAGGTTGGGAGTCTGAGATCCTGAGACATGAACCGGGTGAGCCCAGGAGTCCCAGGCCTGGGAGGTGTCACCTGCCCAAGTAGCACTGGCACTGTCAGGGTAGAGAAGGTGAAGGGATAGAGACCTAACAGAGTAAGCAAGAAACGCCAGACTGTCCTATCAAGAGAGGAAATGGTGGAGCAAGTCGGGGAGGGAGAAAAGCAAGGGTGGAATCCTGGGGTCACAATTCAGTGACCATGGGATTAGGTCTGGAATGGGGGTGGGGTTAGGGCAGGAAATGGAGGAGTTAGGGCAGGCTGGGGATGGGTCAGGGCAGAGATAGGGTGCCGGTTTAGTGCTTTCTTGCCCTGTTTCCCTTGAAGGGCTCCCAGAGAACTGGAGAGAAAGTGACTAAAACCTTGGAGGAGAAAAACAGTAGATAAGAGTAATAGATTCATAAAATGTTAGTACAGAGGCCTCAGAATCACCAGTGTTCTCACTTCATAGGTGACAAACAGGCCTGAAGCGGGACAGAGGCATTCTGGAGGCCACGCGCTAGGCTGAGCCAGGCCACTGAGCCTTCCTGCCACCTCTACCCCATCCGAGGCCCCCTATTTGTCCAGGTGGCAGCGCACCTTGGAAGTCCCGGAAACGCCCATCAAATGTTGATACAAGTCAGAGCTGAATCTAGATCTGAGTCCAGACTCACACGTGATCTTTCCGAAGACTCTAGGGTGGTCACAGGGCTTAAGGACATCTTATGGCCTAAAGTTAAGATTGAGAAAATTCTAACTTATTTTTCCTGCACATCAGGTGAAAACTGTCCTGTTTTTCACTCGTTGAAGAATGATTTTATCCTGCTGGTGGGGTTTTCCACGCAGCTTTCCTGGGGTGACTCTGGAGCCACGACTCCCCCCAACAACTCCCCCCGGACCAGGTGGCAGGGGTGACGGGGACAGGACTGTGTCCTCACTGTGCACCACGGTCGAGTCCACCAGGGGGTCCACGTCGGGGATGGCGACAGTGACGCTGGTGCTCTCGGTGGCGGCCTTGTCCGTGTTGGCCGTGACGCAGGAGAGGTCGGGCTCGCTCTGGCTGACCCGGCCCACGTTCAGCTGCACGTCCCCCAGCAGGGCTTGCTCGCTGCTGCCCTCAGGCTCCTGCTCTGTCAGCGCCTTCCCCACTTCCGGTTCTGTGTTCGGCGGGACGAGTGGGGTGTCAGCCTCATCGAGGGCTCCTGCCAGCCCAGAGCCTCGGGGCACCATCAGACTGTTGGTCCTGTCAAGACAGAGGACACAGTTGGGGCTCAGATCTGAAGATGCTGTTTCAAAGCGGGGAGAGGTGAGGGGAGCCCGAGGAGCCCTGCTGGGGCGCATGGGGCCTCTGCTGCCTCCCACCCCGATGGGCAGAAAGGAGCTAAGACCCAGGGGCCCTGCCTCCACCTCATTTCCATCCACCCTCCCATGACCCACTCCTGATGGAGATACCCTGGAACAGAGGCTGGTTTTCAGGGGGACAGAGCCCACTGCCCGTCAGAGTTGCACATACCCTGTACCAGGTACACTGGCACCACCCCCACTCGACAAAATGAGGCTCAGAGGCTTATACTGAAGAGTCCCCAACACCAGCCGCGCTACGTGCCTCCAGATGCTCCTGGGACTTGTTACCTCCTCAAGTCCTGGGCTCTCTCTTCTTCCTGGATAGTGGGCTCCTTGCCCCCATGGCCGCCCCTGGGCTCTCGGTCCTTCTCCCCCTCGGTGGGCGCGTCATCCAGGCCCCGCTCCTGGCTGGCCGACCGGCTCTGGGAGGCGGAGGAGGGCTCCTTGCCTTCCGTCCTGACTCGGCGGTGCCGGCTGCGCCGCTGGCTTTGCCTGTGCCTGGCCCGGTCCTCAAAGGTCACCACCGCCTCCCCTCCCCCAGCCTCCTGCTGGGTCGGGTCACAGTTCCCATGGCAGGGCCTGGCCAGCCACGGCGGCTCCCGTTTGCCCAGCGGCAAGGGGCTCCTCTGGTGATCCAGGGCACTGGAGAGGTCCCCTCCGTCCCCCTTGAGGGACCCCCCGCGGCTGATGCGCTCCTCCTCACACTTCTCCAGGCCCAGGCCCAGGGCCAGCCCCTCCAGGGGCCGGGATCTCCGGTAGAGGCTGGGGTGGGCGTTGAGCGGGTTGAGGGGGCTCAGTGGGTTGAGGGGGTTGAGCGGGTTCATGGGCGGGGCCTCCTCCTTGTTGAGGGCCTCCTGGCTGGACATCTGCATGTGCCGCCTCAGCTGGCTGGTGCGCTGCTCCCACACCGACATGTGGTGGCGGCGCCTCCGCTCCCGCCTGGCGAAGGGGAAAGGGAGAAGGCCGCGGTCAGAACCCGACGGCTGCAGGCCAAAGAGGGCAGCCCTCAGCGGCCATGGGGAAAGGGCAGGACACACGGTGCGAGGGGCACACGGGAGAGCCCAGGACCTGCAGACGGGAAGCACAGAGAGACTCAAGGAGCAGAGGGGGCCACGCAGCAACGGTGGTTGGACCACAGCCTCCCAGCTCATGGGCTTCCCACTTGGTTTCCCTGCTCTGCAGCAGCTGGGGGAGCGGATGGGGATGGGGTCAGCCCAGGACCCAGTTCCCTGTCCCCGGGGCCTGCAGGGCTGAAGTACAAAGGCGAGTGGGTCTGCACTCCCTGCTCCAATTTGCTTTCAGGGCATCAACCTTCTCCTATTCTGTGCCCGCCACTGGCCCCTCGTTCCAGGCCAGAGACCCCCTTCCACCTGCTCCCCTCTCCTCTCCCTCAGATAAGCCTGGGGTTGCCAGGGCAGAGCAGTGCCAAGGTCAGAGTCCATCGAAGGGTGACCACGGGGACGAGCAGACCTATGTTACATAATGTCTTGGCGTCACCCTCACCAAAGCAGAGTGCTGGGGTCTCTTCCAAACCTCAGAGGATTGTGTGTGCAAAGACCACCAGCAGCTCACCCTCAGAATGGCTGTGGAGCATTTCGGCTCCGGGCCGAGAGGAGCAGTGAGAACGCACCAACATGACACACAGGCGAGCACACGGGGCCCACATGGCGGAAGGGTAGCCACCTACGCCTTCCCCACACGTGCCTGTGCGTGCACAGCTACACACTGTTAAGGGGACGCTCGCAGGTGCCCACACACGCCCTCACTGAGGCCCCTGCGTGGCTGCACACAACTGCCTACACGAAAGGTACAGCCACGCCTGCACAGGTCCACTCACAGGCCACACAGAGCGAACAACGCGCAGGGGCACAGACCTGAGACACACAGAGACAAGCACGTGTCAAAAGGGGCAGCGGGGCATGTCCACAAACCATGTGCATGGAACACACACGCACACACCACTGACGTGCACACCCGGCGCCACTTTGTCCACGGCAAGGACAAAGACACGGTGTCCCCGCACCCGCACATGACCACTCACAAACACGCAAACCGGTCCACACATACAGGTGGCTGCTGCGTGGCTCCCACATCGACATGTGGTGTCTTCTCCTTCTGTCTCTTCTGGGGAAGAAAAACGAACAGGTTCAGTTCACCCCGACCTCTAGAGCAACCACACGCCCCACAGCCACCAGCGGGTTTCCAGGGAGAGGTATGGTCCCCAGTGCGCCCACACGCTCTCTGCACGCCCGCTGCCCTCTGCACACGCCCGACCACGCACTCTCCGAGGGAGTGACTTGATTCCTTGCTACGTGCAAACACGTGATCTAGGCTTTGAAGCGTACGAACGGACGCAAAGGATCCATTTCCATTTCATGGAGCAGACTGCTTCAGATGCTCAACCGTCACGCCCACTGGCACTCACACCACAACCTACAGATCCTTCAGAGACCTATTACGGAGGCAGATCTCTGGACGAAGAGCTGTATTTCCCCCGTCATTTGTAGATGAGCCCAGCACAGTCACATGGGTGTGAGTCCCCACTCATCACTCCAATCCCGCAAAACATGCAGTGAGCAAGGGCTCTGCCATGCAAACCATCGAGGCCACAGAAATAGCCCATGGCCAAAGGCAGGCCCATCCCTCCATGGCCGCCATCCACATCCTCTAGAATGCTAGTGGTGACCCCGCATTTATGCAACGCAGTGGCCCTGGCCAGAGGCCTTGAAGGTTTGGTCTATTTAGCTGGGTAAAGCCCAGTATTAACCTTCTTGGCCTTGCACAGGGAAAACTCTCTTCTACACACACACACACACACACACACACACACACACACACACTTGCTGTGCCCTTTCAATCGGGCAATGGGAGGTCAGAGAGGCAGGGTGTGGGCACCACCCCTCCAGGGCAGACAGGACTCCTGGGAAAATGAGACCGCCAGCTCAGCTCAACGCTCAGTGGAGGAAGCACATCTGGGACACCTGTGGCGAGAGCCTGGCAGACAGGCCCAGTCTGGCCCAACGGACCCTGCCTGGACCTGGAGGTTGGCAAATGCTGCTCCATTCCTGATAAAAGTGACACCCCCACATGGAGAACATGCTGGACAAACTAGCCCCGCCCCACGGCCACCCCTGTGTCTGCTTTAGAGGCCGCTCCTCCGTGGGGCTGGGGAGCGGGCAGCTGGGCTGAGCCTCCCTCGGTGCCTGGCAGAGGAGCGATGCACATGGGCACCCACAGGATGGACACAGTCATCACTGTGCAGGCACCGGCGAGCTCCCCAAATGACTGCACCCCTCGGCTTCGCCAGCTGTGATGCGAGGAGGCACACGTGGGGCGGCGGTGCCGAGAGGCATGGGTGGCAGATAGAAATAAGGGCCCACACTTTACACAGGCCTCATGCAAACCCACCGTGAGAAGCACATTCTAGCATCTAACTGCACATTCTCACATATTCAAATACTGGAGGCAGAGGCACGTGTAAGAGTGTAAGTGCACGAAGAATCCCCTCTTGCGTATGTGTGCCTGAACACACTCAAGTGCACGCACACACATGCACGCACCAGGCAGAAGAGAAACCCAATTGCCGAATCCCACACAAATCAGACACACACTTCAAAGCCCTCTTTACTTCTCACACATGAAAAGATCCACTTCCTGCCCCATCAGAATCATTAACGTACCTTCATTCCCCAAATCATACCGAGCAGCATCCACGTATCTCCAACCCATGCATCTGTGACCTCACACGCAGCCCACAATTACCCCGTGGACCAGGAAGGCCAGTGAGCGTTCTTCCTCTTCCAGAAATGGGAAACGGGATCAGAGATCCTAGAGGATCTCACCACGGTCACAGAACATATGAGTGGCAGGACTCTAGCCAGCACCCAGGCCATTTGGTTTGTCACCATGCTCTGTCCCTGTTCTCCAGGGACAGCCACATTCTTGCTTCCACTCCCGAGGGGTGTGCACACAGCTGACGGACGTAGCGCTGCCAGTGGCCCCCACCTCACACACCTGTCCCGCGTCCGGAGTCTGGAACTCTGCCCGTCCTGGGCGGTCACAGCACTCTCTCCCACTGCACTGTGCCCGGTACACACACGGCTCAACACCTACAGGCCCTGCTACTGGCAGTTCATTCATTCATTCGTTCCATAAAGTGTAGGTTTCTACTCTGGGCCGAGCACCTTCCCAACTCAGGGCTCCAAACCCACTCTCCCCGCAGGCTTCCTCATCTCAGGAAACAGAACCACCCACTGACTTCTCTTCTAAGCTTCAAACTCATGGAACCAACTGCCTTACCCAGCGGCATGTTTGGATACCTGTATATTTTTCACCCAAACTCATGTGTTCAGGGAAGGTGATTAGAAACCACTCAAGGCTGAAACCAGTTTGGCTCAGTGGATAGAGCGTCGGCCTGCGGACTGAAAGGTCCCAGGTTCGATTCCGGTCAAGGGCATGTACCTGGGTTGCGGGCACATCCCCAGTAGGAGATGTGCAGGAGGCAGCTGATCCTTGTTTCTCTCTCATCGATGTTTCTGACTCTCTATCTCTCTCCCTTCCTCTCTGTAAAAAATCAATAAAATGCATTAAAAAAAAAAAAAAGAAACCACTCAAGATCCAGAAATAATTTTTTGGACGGTGTGGGGGGAGGGGGGCAGTTTTTTCCCCACTCACAGAGGAGGGGCCCAGAACCAGACCTTCGAGGTTTTGAAAGGTCAGGGCAAGATGATGGCCATGCAGGGAAGGGAGGGCTCCACATGTAACCCTGGCATGCCCCTGCCAGGCGAGGCTCCTCATTCGAGAGCCTTGTGCATGACCACAGGCCAAAAAGGGCTCCTTCCTCACTAGCTTCAAGGAGTCGATGATAGGGTCTGGTGCCACGCCCTGGGGATCTCTGGCCCTCTCCATAGATACCCCAGGGCTACTCACACAGTCCTCAGGCAACTAGCAGCTACAGGGGTGCCATGGTTCTGCAGTCGCAGCTCGGCCTCTCCTCCAACAGCACCCTCCAGCCCCACACAGGAAGTCAGCCCCACCCAGGACCTAGCCTCCTACCCCCAGCTCTACCAGCCGCCACAGGCCCAGGTTGGATCCTTAAAAGAGTCTCCTCACTGATTACTTCGTCACCTCTCATTCATTCCCTGGACTCAGTTCCCAGGGGCCACTCAGTTGGACTCAGTCCCCAGGGGGCACTCAAACTGCTCCTGCAAAGCTCACTTACAGCTTTCATGTTGCCAGTCCCTTTGCTGTCCTCATCTCGCGTGATTTTTCAACAGTATTTCACACCGCTGTTCGCCCTCCTTCCTGAAGGGTGTCTTTCTCTAGTCTCCAGGGCACCATGCTTCCTGGTTCCTTCGCCCCCCTCCTGGGAGCTCCCCGTCAGGCACAGGTGGGCTCTGGGCCTCTGTCCTCAGCTTGTCCCTTCTCCATCTGGACTCTCCCAGGTCAGGTCACCCACACTGGCTGCTTCAGTACCATCCAACTGCAAATGGCTCGCCCAGATCGTTACTGCTAACCCCGACTTCTCTCCTAAGCTTCAGATGCCTATTCAACATCTCCCCTTGGATGTCTTGAAAGGATCTCAAATTCAATGTGGCCCAAATGAGCGTGGGCTCTCCATCGTTCTCCAGAGAATCGTACACACAGCCGCTACCCCCCCACTTGCTGAAGCCTCACGCCTTAGACCTTGGGAGAAATGCTTCCTCTCCTCTTATTCATCCACCCCATCACATTTAACCCAGCATCAGTTCACCCTATTGGGTCGCCCTCCAAAACAGAGACCGAATGGGATGACCGCCCACCTTCTCTGTTGCCACCATCCTGCTTTGAGACCCTGATACCTTTCACCTACTTTTAGAGTCAACTTTCTGTGTCCCTGCCTCCCCTCTTGGCCCCTACAATCCATTCTCCACAAAGCAGAGTGACCTTTTAAAAGTATCAATCATGTCCCATCCATCCTTCCACTTTAAATGCTCCCAGGGCTGCAACGAGAATACAAGCTGAAATCCTTCACCTGGGCCTTCGGGCCCTGGCTCCTGCCCACCACGCTGACCTTGTCTCATTCGATCCCTTCTCGTTCCCTCCACACCGGCCAACTGCTGGAGATGCTCTGCCCTCAAATGTCACATGACACTTTATGCACATTTAGGTCTCTGCTTAAATGTCACCTCTTCGGAGAGCCCCCCCCCCAGACTGCCCGAAGGTACTCCACCCGGCTCCTGTTCCTCTGCCCGACTGCCCTGTTCATGTGTTTTACAGCAGTTACCACTATTGAAAAGTATCTGTTTGTTTATTATCAATCTGACCTCGCTCACTGCAATAAGAGCTCCACGAGAAGAGAGACTGTCGTGCTCACTGCTGTGTTCACAGGGCACCTCCTGGCGTGGAGCAGGTGCCCTGGGATAACCAATGGGTTTTGAATGGAGTGCAGGGGACAGTGAGGTGAGGACTGCCGACTCACTCGATAGAAGGCATGTTGGGTGCGGACATCGGGCTGACCTCCTTGGCCTTCTGCAGCGCGTGCTTCTGGTTGAAAGCCTCCTCTTCTTCCTGCTCATCCTAGACACAAAGAAGACATGGCTGTGCCTGGGACCCCCATGAAGAAGAGGTGGCTCCCTGGGCTCTCCTGAGAAGCTCTGGAGAGCAGGAGGGGTGAGGAGCGCAAGGGAAGAGGTGCAACAAGGCAGAATGAGGTGAGATTGGCTGAGAGACCACAGATGGCCAAGCTGCCGGGCCTCCGTAGCCCTGGCATGGCCGCAGCTCTGGTCTCCTCCCTGCCCCATAGGCTGCCCAGGAGAGCCGTGGAAGTCAAGGCCCTGGCTCAGCCCTCAGTGGAGCTGGCCACGCTGTAGAGGTCACAGGCCAGAGCTGACACTTGCCAGGTGTTCTGTCTGGAAGTGAGGGAACGAGGCCCTTCCAGGCAGAGGCCCTGAAGTGCAGCACCAAGGCTGTGCCTTCCACTGTGCCCTCTTCCCCGCAGAGCTAAGTGTTCCCAGGATTGAGTGTTTTCTTTATTCTTCATGTTACAATCCTGCTAAGGGCCTCCTTGAGGGTCCAAGTTCTAAGCTATTATTTTCTCTATTTCACGGGAGACCCAGGCTGGTCTGAGGCTCACCAAACTCAAAGAGAGTGAACCAGGCTTCCTTCAGGGAGTGTGGCTCTCCACCTGTCCAGGAGCTCCCAGGAGGGGCCAGACACGCAGAATCCTGGAAGCACCCCAAAGGCATCCAATGGCACGAGAACCATCGCATCCCCAGAGAGCAATGCTTACCTTGGTCAGCTCCTGGGCGTTGGCCAGATTGTCCACAGCGATGGCCAAGAACACATTCAGCAGCGTGTCTGGGGTGACGAGTTAAGGATGGACAAGTAAGAAAAGCAAGAGGCTTCAAAGCAAGGCTGAGAGGGCATCTCCACATCTTTCCTGCTGGGGACACTAGGATCTACCCCAAAGAGTCACTTAAGCAGGGACTGTGGGAGGGGAGGACAGAGATACTATGCAACCCTGTTAGAAGGAGAATATGTCTTCCCTCCTTCCACATATCATCTCTTTGTTCAGGACAAAGAAATACATGAATGGAGTGAGAAGGCCTTTAAGCAGCTGTGATGTCTATCACAGCAATATCAAACAGAGAGTCAATGAACAACAAGATGGGTAGGGAACTCAATGTAGGAGCTCATCCCCTTTCTGAGAGGCTGAAACTGAAGCCCACCTACACGAGCCATCCTAAACGATTCTTAAAGATGAAAAGAAATGAGAACCCACATCCCATCACTGACCAGCTCTCAGTAATGGGTGCTAACTTATTTCTCCTGTTCTTCTCGTCCTGCACAGCGTCTGTATTTCATTTAGCAAAATGTCACGGAGCTCACAAGATCATTATGGAACCCATTTTTATTCTACACTCTAACCTCTCAAGTCCCAAATTTCCAACTGTGTTTGAGGCCCGTGTGTTCTGGGACAAAGAACTGGTTCCAGAAAGTCCAGGTCTGACTGCCCTCAGAGTAAAAGGAAAAAAAAAAACCCACCAAAAAACACAACAAAAAACCAAAACAAGGCCACTGTGACAAACTGGCCTTCCATTTCTGTGACTCATTGCACAGCTTTCTTCTTACGGGCTCTCTTTGGTCTAGAGTTGGCTTTGGCCCTTATCAGTTTTCAGGGCAGAAAACCAAAAGGGGCATCTTTTCTCTGTGAGATTATAGAAGATGCAGAGCCACAGCTGTATCACAGCAGCTCCTCGTTTTTACTCTACCAACCCCAATTCAAGGCAAGTCGCACTCCCCCAAAACAGCTAATGATCGTGTAGAAGTTTGTAGTTTACCAGGTGCATTCAAATAAATTACCTCATTTACTATTCACAACGAACAAAGAAGACAGGCATCGGTATTCTAATTTCACATGTAGAAACTAGAAGCTCAGAAAGATGGAGTGCCTTTCTCAAGGCCACACAGCTGGATGCAGAGTTGCTGGGATTAAAACCGAATCTTCCTAGATCTAGATCCTGTGACCAGACCTGGGTTTTGGAATGCAATGAACTTGGTTTCTACTTTCCCTTTACAGTTGAGTAACTGTTTGACCTTTGTTATTTCTCCTGTGTCTTACAAAGTAAGGATTAGATGAACTAGTGCCAGTAAAGCACTTAGTACACACAGAGACTCACAAATAGCACAGAAGCAGTCCATGTTAGATGTGCTTAGTTGTAGTAGCATTAATCATAATGCTAGTGTTTTAGAGATCTTACTATAGGGCAGGCTCTGTTCCATGGTAACATTAAATTAACTCATGAGTATTATAATCTGCCCAATGTTTCAGCCTACAACGATCTCTGCCCTCTCTTCTTTCCCCAGCTCATAGTAGCTCCAATCATTCAACACAATAGCCTCATTTGGATGCTATTCTTTTTCTTCATTTTTATCCCTTTACCCAATTAGCGTACAAATTCCTTAAGGTCAGGATCCTTGTTTCTCTTAGTATACGGAGCAATGTCTGGTTTCCTCTTAGTATACAGAGCAATGCCCCCCCCCCCGCCATCCCTGCCCCACTCCAGTTCTAACACCATCACCACCCTCCTCCCCACCTCCTCCACACCACCACCACCTTCACCTCCACCTCCACCTGCTCCACCTCCACCTCCACCTCCACCACCAACCTCCTCCTCCTTCACCATCACTACCACAACCACCCCCCCCCCAATTTTCTTCCATCTCCTCCTCCCCCTCCTCAATGCCGGACTGGGCAGGGAGGCAGGACAAAGAGGAGCATCTTTAAAAAGGATACAGTTTCCAAACAAAGGGAG